CGCAGCTTGGTGTTTAATTCTAGTCTCTTATTTCTTTATTTTTGTTATTAGTTGTAATATCTCTTCTTTCATTTCTGATTTCGTTTGTGTCATCTCTTTTTTTCTTTCTTAGTCTAAGTAGAGATTTGTCAATTTTATTTATATTTTCAAAAACTTAACTTTTTTTCCCTAAGGTTTTTACCATAGGGTGCACGTGCTCACTAGAGACAGAGGAACAAAGAGAGGGAAATTGAAAAATCACACCCCAGGGTGGCAGTGGGGTTAGCCATGCCACAAGCCCTTCTCCTCCATTCTCCTCTTGTGATTTTGGACATACACACACACACACACACACACACACCTGGTGTGATTTTCAAGCCACTGAGTCAGAGACTCTAACCATAGTTGGCCATGTGGGAGTCCAGCACCTTAACCATCATGCCACTTGCTGGCTCCTCAGAAACCTACCTCTTAGTTCTGCTGATCTTTTTTATTGAAAAAAAAAAAGATTTTGTAAAAACATACTAGAGTTAGGTACTATTTTGTTTTCAGCTTGTTTATTTGTTTATCTATTGATGAGAGAAAGCGGGAGTGAGAGAGACAAAGAGATAGGCACCTCACCATGCTGCAATCCTTCTGTCCTAGCCTCTCAGCCAGCCAGATTCACAGGTGTATGACCATACCAGGTATATCCTGGTCCAGTTAGGACCTCAACCTGGACCTTCCAAGAGGCTCCCGCATGGCAGAGCAGTGACCTACCTCCTGTGCCACTGTAGCCAGGACTCTCTTGTTTATGTTTGCTCTTATCTTTGTTATGTCTTTCCTACTGCTGACGTTAGGCTAAGATCGTTCTTTTCTTTTTTTTTTTTTTTTTTTTAAGAGAGACTTTTGCTATAGGGCATGTGTGTTTGCTGGAGAGACAGAGGGTGCCAGAGAGACAGAAAGTGAGAAATCACTCCCTGGGGGGAAGGTCATGCCACAATCCCTTCTCTTCCATTCTCCTCTCGGGATCTTGGTCACGAACACACACGTGCCCGGTGTGAGTTTTAAGTCGCTGGTTCCAGGACTTGAACTGTGGTTGGCTATGCGGGAGTCCAGTGATGTACCCATTATGCCACCTGCTGGTCCGATTGTTCTTTTTAAGGACCCAGATTTAAAAACACAAATGCAGCAGGTATAGAAGCTTACCTGCGAGGAATATATTAGTGGTTTTACTTTTTGCATAGCTTTATGTAGATGGAATTTACTTCACCATTGACAAAAGGTCTGTTCTGGACAAAAGATCTGCTCTGGGCCCAGCTGTAGTGGCACAGGTGGCAGTGTGCTGATCTGAGTGCTGGAAGCCACATGGCCAAGTGCAGGTTCAGATCCTGAGCTGATCTGGAATACGCTAGGTGTATGCAGGCCCAGGATTCTTTTTTTTTTTTTTTTTTTTTTTTTTGGGGGGGTTTTTTTTATAGGGGACGTCAACTTGCGAGATTTTTGCTTATTTATTCCATGTGTGTGTGTGAGAGAGAGACAGAGACAGAGATACAGAGAGATCTCTTCCAATGTAGAATGGCCATGCCCAAATTCTTTTTTCTCCATTTTTCCATTCCATCTGAATACTGGGCATTTCTGCACATGTTTCCAGATTTTTTTTGAGAGAGAGATTTTTGCTATAGGGCATGTGCATTCGCCAGAAAGAGAGACAGAGAGACAGAAAGCAAGAAATCACCACCTAGGGGGGATGGCCATGCCGCAATCCCTTCTCATGGGAGTCCAGCGACATAGCCATTACGCTAACTGCTGGTCCCACATGTCCAAGATTCTGACTGGCAGGAGGGCTGGGGGAAGGGGGTCACAGCGTGATGAGATTCTGTCCCTCTTATACTTCCTCACACTTTCTCTCACATGAGAAATGAAATGAGTAACATACACACATGATCTAACCAAGAGACTACCTTTTGGCATTTGTATAAGTTTATAAACTTCTATCAGGAAATAAATTGCAGGTGTTATGTCATCTCTGCATTTGTATTTAGCAGCAAGACCTGCTTAATTCCAGAGGAACATTTTAACCATACACAGCTAATGAAAGCCTGAGTTAGCAGCAAAGCCCTTAAATCTGGAAAAGCCATAGTGGGGACAAGAAGGGTGAACAGCTTGTCTTCTGGATAGCTCAGGAGTGCCATGACTGAAACTCCACCTCCCACCTTCTCGGCGTCTCCGATCCCAAGGCTGGAGCTGGTGCTGATGGCAGCCACACTCTCTCTCCCTCGCTCCGATGACTTTTCTGTATTTCCGTGTCTCTTCCGTTTCCTGTTTCACCTGCAGTCCATTGCGGTTTTAACTTTATAAACAGCAATAGCTAATCAAGTTAATATCATTTTCCTTCTGGTAGAAAACGATCTATTTAGAACCGATAGCTGTAACATTCTTGAAATTAATATTGTCAAGGCTTATTAATACTTTTTCCCTCCAGAAGACACACAAGCTTATTATAATTTTTTTTTTTTAATTTTGCTAGAGGGCACATGTGCTTGCCAGACAGAGACTGAGGGATAAAGGGAGGGGGCAAGTGAGAAAGCAGACACTTGCCTCCCCCCAAATAGGGAATGGCTACACCACAATACCTTCCTTACTTTCCTCCTGGGATTTGGACACACAGGCGTACATGCCAAGTGCATTTTTCAAGCCTCTGGGTCCAGGACTCAAACTGCTTAGTTGGCCATGTGGGCTCTAGCTGCCTTAACCTCTGTGCCATTGTTGTTGCAATATTTTGCAGTTATCCCAGATGTTTTGGCATGTCCGAAAGTTGGCCATTAGGTAGCTGGTATAATACTGTACTTTAAAAGGTATTAATGAAGGGTATAAGACTTGGGTACGAGGCACCTGCCACACAAAGTCCATTTTCGAGAGTTAGGGAAGCACACAGTCTGACTCAGCCTGTGTCCTCTTGCTCCTGCCAACTGACCGCACCGAGGCTGTGCCCTCACTATTCAGTTCCACTCAACACAGTTAGGTCAGCAGAATTTTTTCAACATACGCAGGCGTGACTCATGAATTGAAATACCTCCAATAGGGCATTCTCTTCTTGTCTGCCAGTGTGAATGCTGTGGTCTTATGTATGACTTGTGCCAGGAGGTAGGATTGTATGCTCAATTTTTATGTACACTCCAGGAATAATCATTATGAATAGGTACAGAAATATGGGGCTTTAAAATTGGAAATGAATATGTTAAATGTTTTCATTTATTAAAAAAAAAAGGTCATCTTTATCTGTTTACTCATTTGTTTGCTTTCATTGCAGGCCCAGAAGCTTCTTCATCTGCACCCACACCAGCAGAACTCAAATAAACCCTGATGCAATATGTACTTAGGATAACTTTGTATATGACTATGATATGACTGTATTTCAGCTGTATTTATAAGGCCCCAGGTATATTTTGTTAATATAGATTCTTATGGAATAATGTATCTTGCAGCAGATTTGGTATCATTGCGGCGAATGTGGTGCAAGTGTCTGGTTCTGTTTCTTGCCTTTCTCTGGTATGTGAAATACGTGTCAATAAACACAACTAAGGCCTCTGGTTCCCTTTGCCTCTCTGGCCTACTGAGGGCCCAGTGTCTGGGAACCAGTCTCCTCCTCCCTATGAGCAGCCTGCATCCCCTTCTCCTCTACGATCCACTACTGAGTGCCTTTTCTATTAGACTGTTAACCAGAGGAAACTCAGAGAACAAAACGTAAGCCTCTTCCATTATTTGGTTCTGTAATCTCTGTAGAAATCATTTTCTTGCTAACGACAACAACAAAATCCAGATATGGTGATATAGTTTATATTAAGAAGAAAGTTTTTCATTTATTATGCCTTGATGTTTCAAACATTCACTATAAAACATTGCAGTATCTGCTTATTTTACATTTTTACTAATATTTTTGCCTCAACTCAAGTCTAGAATATGAAAGATTTATTATTTTGTATCCATGACCTAAATATATGTGTAATTTTAATATTTAGTATACTTAACAAAAACTCATGAATAATCAGAAGGAATTCTCTTGTTTTATACAGTTCACTATTATTTATAAATAAGTGTTTAGCATTAAAATGTAGCTTTATATTTTGCATATTTAATTCATTAATAAAATAATTTTCTGTAGGAAGATTTTCAGAAAGCCAAATAAGTTCACAAATATTTTAGCTTCTTTTGCAGTATAAACTTATCATGCACTTGTTCACCTAAAATGTAATTAGTTCTTGAAATGAGGTACTTAGTTGGGCACATATATCTTTATTGTTTGATCACACTGATACTATTATGGGAGAATGTATGCACTATGTAAGAAATGTGAATGGCTGTATGTATTGAATAAAAAGAATATACTATTAGAGTAAGAAGTTTATTTTTTTCCTCTGTTTTCTCCTTTTTCCTCTCTTTGGAAGATGATCAGGTTACCTAGGTGATTAGGAATGGGATTAGTGTCCTTACAAAAGCAACCTCAGAAAGCTACCATGCTCTCCCACCATGAGAAGACACAGAGAGAAGGCTCCATCTGTGAACCAGATAGTGAACCCTTGCTAGACACTGAATCTACCAGTGCCTTGACCTTGGACTTCCCAGTGTCCAGAACTGTGAAAATAAGTTTCGTATTTTTATAACTATTTTATGATATTTTGTCGTAACAATCGGAGGAGATCAAGACAGGAAGGAAGAAATAAAACTGTGTTCACAGATACAGAAAATCTGAAAGAATAAAATATACTATAAATATCTTTACACATCATTTCCAAATTGAGAAGATCAACTAAACTGAGGACCTATATCAATAATTGTATATCTAGAGTATATACACAACCGCCAATGATGCCCACCCAATTTAGTGAGTGTGAAAGAGGGTCCAGCAAGACTTTAGAGGAAAGAGGATTGAGGTAAAAACAACCTGCAGAAGAGAAAACCCAGCCTATGTGGGAAAATAACAAACATAAGAATGAGGAGGAGTCCTGGTAGAGCAGAGCACTGAGGACAGAGGAGGGAATTAGAAGTACCATGTACATAGAAATAATGATAGTTGTAGTACTTGTAGATGTTGTTATCCAATGAGAAAATAAATACATTTTCGGCATTTAAAACAATGGCTAGCAATCAATAAATGATCTATATAGCTGTTATCTAATCATTAGAATGCCTAATGATAATATTTCTATTCAAGAGACAAGTCATTGTGTTCAAACACAGTATTTTTCTACTCTGGACTGATTCTAGAATAAAGGTTGATAGCCATTTAATTATTATTATTTTTATTTTTAATTTATTTTATTTTTTTGAGAGGTTTTCGCTATAGGGCGCGTGCGCTCTCCAGAGAGACAGAGAGAGAGATATAGAGATAGAAAGCGAGAAATCACCCCCCCAGGGGGGATGGTCATGCCGCAATCCCTTCTCCTCCATTCTCCTCTCGGGATCTTGGGCACGTACGCACACGAGCACGGCATGAGTCTTAAGTCACTGGGTACAGGACGCGAACCGCGGTTGACTACATGGGAGTCCAGCGACATAGCCATTACACTAACTGCTGGTTCCCAGCCATTTAATTATTAGCATTCTACTGACATATGAATGTAGATTATGTAGTAACAAAATAAATGACCAAAAAATAAAAAAATAAAAAAGCATCTCTGAGGCTCCAGGAGCTGCTCTTGGAAAGGTACTGCTTCTGGGGAAAAATGGTATAAAACAGAAAGGAGCGGTGCCCTTTGAGAACTGTAAGATGAAGAGGGAAGGGAAGGAGGCTCTAAAAAACAAAAACAAACAATAGAATGCAGAACACACAATCTCTCCTCTGTATTACCTCAAAGAGTCATTAGGCAAAGAAACTCTACACCTCTTGCTGGCAGCTGGTGTGGTGGTTAAGGTATTGAACTCCCACATGGCTGAACATGGTTCAAGTCTTGGACCTGGAGGCTTGCTTTTTCACTTTCCCTCTATCTCTCTGTGTCTCTCTCTAGTCAAGTAAAAAAACAGTAATAATTATAAATAAAATTAAATAAATTATTCTTAAAATAAATCCCACACCTCCATACTGATGGAGTAAAGCACACTTGAGTCCTATAAATCATCCCAATTGCATTCACAATATGAACTATACAAGAAGCTTTTATTTGAATACAATAAGACAAAGGTAAAAAATGAAAACATACAGTTGACAGAAATTCCTTTAAAAAATCAACCATGAGGCAGAAAAATCCTTTATTACAATACTTCTCAAGCAAGCGTTTAGAGATTGTAAAAAGATACACACAAACAACAATGACAAACACTTCAGCTTGAAAATTTAAAAAACTAAGGACATAAATGGCTCAAAAAGCAAACACAGGATTAAATGAAACAAGATTATTTAATTGCAGAAAGAAAAAGAATCAACAGAAAAACCATATTAGAAATGAAGACTAAGTATGAGGTCCCTATAGAAGAAGAGATTAGAATGAAAATTTTTTTTTTTTGGAGAGGTTTTTGCTATAGGGCATGTGCACTCGCCAGAAAGACAGAGACAGAAAACGAGAAATAACCCCCCAGGGGGATGGCCACGCTGCAATACACTTCTCCTCCATTCTCTTCTTGGGATCTTGAGCATGCACGCACACACACCTGACATGATTTTAAGCCATGGGGTCTGGGACTCGAACCGTGGTTGACTACATGGGACTCCAGTGACATAGCCATTATGCCATTTAATATGGGTACTGAAGAAAAGCAAGAAAACAGCCCAGAGATTGCAAATGAGATAAAATAGAAAGTATTAGAAGAATATCTGTTGAAACAAAGACAGTGAAAAAAAAGTTGAAGATATATAAATTGGATTCCCTAGAACAGAAGAACCAGCACCCTATGGAGGGTGATTTCTTACTTTTTCTTTTTCTCCCTCCCCCCTCTCTCTTTCTGTTACTCTCTGGTGAGTTCACATGCTCTCTGGCAAACTTGAAAATAATAACAATGAAGAAAGACTTCTCGGGCCAGCAGATGATGTAGCAGTTATGTTACTGGACTCCAATGGTGGCTTGAAAATCACACTGGGTATGGGTACATGTGTGCCCAAGATCCCAGGAGGAAAATGGAGGAGAAGGGATTAAAGCCTGGCCATACCCCTTGGGGGGGGGGTTCTCACTTTCCCTCTCATTGACTCTGTCTCTTAAGCAAGTGCATATGCCATAAAACAAAAAGGACCTCTTAAAAAAGAAAGACAGACTTCTGAAAAGCGATATGCAATATGGATGGCAAAAATGGAACAGTTTTCAAGAAAATCAAAATAATATAAAAACCAAGTATTTTATACCTAGACAAACTGTCCTTCAAACATCAAGGGTATAGAAAAACTATTTGAAATATATAAAAATGAACTCTTTGTGAAGCATCAGTTATAGGATTAGACTGACCTAACTAAAAATCACAGGAAAAAATTCAGTCAAAAGCTTGTTGATGAGCACACAATATAGTGATTATGGGTCTAAATGAAAGTAAAAGTGGGAACAACCTAAGAGAATAACATATAAATGTTAAATTTTTTTTTTTTGGAGAGATTTTCACTGTAGGGCGCGTGCGCTCGCCAGACAGACAGAGAGAGACATAGAGACAGAAAGCGAGAAATCACCCCCCAGTGGGGATGGTCACGCCGCAATCCCTTCTCCTCCATTCTCCTCTCGGGATCTTGGGCACGCACGCACACGCGCCCAGCTTGAGTTTTAAGCCACCGGGTCCGGGACACGAACCTCGGTCGACTATGTGGGAGTCCAGTAACATAGCCATTACGCTAACTGCTGGTTCCCAAATGTTAAATATTTTGACAAATTGGAAAGAACACAAAACTTTAGAAATGTGAAAAAATGTAAAATAAGTTTTTCTCTCTTTTAAAAAATGATTCCTAGGCCTTACTATTAGGAACTCTGATTCAGTAGGTGTGAGATAGGACCCAAATCTTTGTGTGTTTGTTTTCTAAGTTTCTTTCCCATGAGTGAGAGAGAGAGAAAAATTTATGGAGAAAGAGACAGAGATACACAGGGTCTTCATAATCACTATCCACCTCCAACTTTTGCCAGCCCTGAATCATGGGTACATGTGTGTCCAGTCTTCTTTGACTTCTCCAGACATGAACCAGAACCTTTCCATGTGGGTCAGTTTTACAGAGTATTACATTACTGCTGTACTACCATCAGCTTGGATAAACTTTTTGAAGGATAGATGGTATGTGGTAGTCAAAGAATATCATTAAAAACTGACCAACCAGATAGTACAAGTTTAAATAAGAACACAAAGTTATTCCTAAGGAGGTAAGCAAGAAAGAATTTATAAAATAAAAACACAAAACACATTACAGAGAGAAAGAAAAATAGAAAATATAATACTCATAATAATATGACAGTTGAGACTAGACATAATCAATAAATCAATAAATATGAATGAGCTTAACTCAGCTGTTATATTTTTAGTTTGGTTTACAAGGCAAGACACAAATTAGAAAATAGTTTGAGATGAATAAACAAAGGTATGACATACAAAAATTATAGGATATAATGAAATCTATAACTGTAAACATGCTTAAAAAAATAACTATCTTAAAAAAGAAAGACATACACACACAAAGAAGACATATCTCAAATCAGTAACCTAATTTAACAGTTTGAAGAACTAAAAGAAAAACAAACTGAACCTGAAGCTTGTAGAAGTTAGGAAATAATAAAGACTAGGGAAGAAATAAACAAAACAAAATAAAAAGAATCTAAAATTGGTTCTTTGTAAAAATCAACAAAGAAGACAAACTTTTATAAAGAATGACTAAGTGAAAAAGAGAGAGGACTCAAATTACTAAAACAAAAATTCAAAGTAAGGGCATTACTACCAACATTACAGAAATAAAATGATGTTTAAGAGAATATTATGAATAATTACACTTTAATAGGATTAGATAAGCAAGACAAATGGATGAATTGTTAGAAGGCTCTCATTACAAAAGCTGGCTCAAGGAGAAATAAAATCTGAATATATCTATAAAACTGAAGAGACTGAATCAGTATTAAAAACTTCCCTATAAAGGAAAACCCTCACTGGTGAATTCCATC